TCCTCACAGCTGCTGCTCAGCCTAAGGGATACCTTGCTTTGATGAAGTCCAAAGCAAAGTCAGAATAAAATTGGGAATGAAGGAAAACACCCTCTCCTGTGCCTCATAGGAATGTAGCAGGATTTTGCCTCAATCAGCCAAACTGTTTTGTGCTTTCACACTTGGAAAAAAAAAAGTCTTTTCTTAAATATGAATATTTTTATGTATAAAAGTTTTTATTGCTTCTATCTATAAGAAGCTAGAGCTGTGCGAAAACAAGAATGAGAGGATGAGCTGAAATCTTAAGCAACACTTTGTTTCCAGGAAAACTGGACACTGTTTTTGGTAATAAGAACTGTGTTGGGCAGAGTGCTTTTTCCGGTAAGAGCATGTAGATCTTGGCAAAGCTCCAACAAACCATAGGTGTAATTATTAGCAGTCCCTAACTGGTTGGAAGTGACCTTAGCATGTGTGATCTTTCAACAGTATCCACAAGAGCATCCCAAACCAGTCTCAGATTGGATATTGAGGAAGTCAACTTAAACAAAATACGAATACTGGAAATATGTGATTAAGCCTTGCATCTATCTAATGATAGTATTAGGGTGGAAACATCAGATCTTACATAGAGATAAGCCTTTTAGCTCAGCTTCTCTCTTTCAATCTTTCATTTTATAAGGCATCAGAAAATTTATTTCACAGCACATTGTTTCACTTTGTTGGCTAATTGTACACATTCGTGTTCCTCAACTTGTACATCAACTTTAAATCCTTGAAATGTGCCTCAAGTTGTGATTGTGGCATGACAGTCAACTCTTATTTTGTCCAAACTTTGGAAAAGAGGTAACTTATACCTAACCCTACCTTGATAATAGGATCTTACTGTAGCTAAAGCTAGGATCAAAGAGCAACTTTAATAACCTGTTTCTGAAGATTACCTTTCACTGAGAAATTGTACCTTACTCCCCCACAAATCTGCTTTTTTAAAATTATTCCAGAATCACTGTGCTATAATCATAAACTTGTACTGAAGTTAGAGCCAAAAATGTCAGAACATTGTAGCATTGTCTTCATTTTTCTTTCTTTTTTAATATCTAACTAATCTTCTGCTCTAATAGTTATTAGATTATTGACCAAGATATACTATTCCTTACAATATCCAACAGATTTGCACCGTGTTGTTTGGTGCCAACCCAAAATACTGCTTTTTAAAGAATCTATTGATTCTTTGTTACACTATATGACTTTTTCAGTTTTCAGCACCAACTTCAATTTATTCCTCCAATGTATTTTCTAGATAGAGTTATGTCCATCATCCACATTTACCTTGTGCTCTTGGTCAGCTTTTCAAAATAAAACCTACAATACATGGGAATTGCTTGGGGGGTTATTTGTGTGTGTGTGTGTGTACAAAAATGGTTACTTCCCAATGTCTTGTTCTAAATGACATATGAATTTACAAAGACAGTTTTTGTTTTTTCCTTATTTTATCACCTAAATCAACTAAAATGTACTTCTCTGTCAAGCAATAACATTGACTATCAACACTTTAGCATATATAAGCACACTAAAAAGGTAAAAAACAACAAAAAATATTCATAGGGAGCAGATAATAAACTCATAGACACAAAACTGAGCAGCCATAGTACATCTGAATAATATTTAAATCCTGTTAACCAGAAAAGAGCTATCTGTTTAAGAAAGAACATTCAGAATTTCAAATTGTTACTGATGAACAAGATATTGTTAATCATAAGGATGTCAAAACCTCATTTCAAGATCTACTGATAAATATAGGTGACCACATGACATTCCATGTAACTTGCAGTAGAGATGGATTCCTCTTCAGATATCTCAGTAAAGGTCAAATTAATGCACAGAGAGAGTCCATAGACAGACAAAATGAGTAGCTGGGTCCTTTGGGATTATGTCTTTGGTGGTCTTTGGGGGACATTTTTTTTATCATGGCATTGTACAGATCAATGATCACTTTCTTGTTAATTGCTTTCAGCAAAGCCCTTTTCTATGGATTTGATGTTTTGGAAATCTCTTTTGCACTCTGGATAACTTTAGTTGTGTATTCTTTCTGTCTAGAAAAATCCATTTTAGAGCTCTTCTGTAATCTTTGTTTTTCTCCATCCTGAATTTCTTGGACTAAGGTACAAACTTCCGCCTCTTAGCAAATCGTCAACCATGTTTGAACTTGTACGATGACCAGGGTTGGATCTAAGAAATCCTGGGTAGCTAGATAAGGAAGTTGGGAAAAAATAACAGAAGAAAGTAATGGCAAACCACTTCCATACTTCTCCCCACAATTTAATATAGATACACATGTGAAATTACTTGAAGGAAAATGTAGCTTTTAAGAAACTTGATTGTTTATCCTCAGATCCGAATCATGTAAGAGCAAATTTAAAAATGTAGTTCAGATACAAATCTTGGAGAGAAACAAATAAGAATCTAAGAATGCAAGGTTGATTTTAATCTTGTTTTAATGAAGATATATTTTTATGTCTGTAAGCCACCCTATGGTAGGATGTGCAGCCAATACATTTTATAAATAGATAGATAGATAGATAGATAGATAGATAGATAGATAGATAGATAACACATATTTATTTTATTTTCCATCCCTGTTCTTTTATCATGAAGTTATGGGGATCAGTTCACTTATTTTCTTCTATGAAATTTCCTCTCAATTACTTATCAAATTAATTGCATGAAATTCCAGATCGATTTCTACAGATTATTTTTCCTGTCATTTGCATACATTTTATATGCCTCTCTTTTCATAATAAATCTATTTGTGGATAACTTTCCCTAATATCAGGTATTTTGAATACCTCTGTCTCAAAATGCTTTTTTTGCCTGCAGTTTTCTCTAATATATGGCTTTTGAAAAGATTTCTTGAGACAAACACAATAGAGATAAAATTTGTACATTGCTGATATATTATGGCATAATTTACTGAATGCAGTATGTAAGTTTGATACATGTTCATACCATATTATATTTTTGGTTTAAAACTTTTGAAAGTTCAAAAATACAATATCTACACTTCTCATTATTGACACTCTATCAATACGTTCTAACATTTAGTGAAAAAGCATTACAGGTGTATAATCTTAATGGGGATTACTTGAATAAAGGCTGATTTTATGAAAAAAATACATACGTTGGGACAGCTGCAGAGTTGTAAACACAGTCTCAAAGATTAGAGCAAAAGTTAACACTACTTTCCTTCTGTTTTTTTTTTTTAATAATGAATGGATAGTGCCCAATACAGCAGTATTGAACATATTTATAAATCCTTTGCAATACATAGCAAATGTGCTTTAATTTAAATTATATAACTGTGTTGTAATCAGGAAGAATTTTTATCTAACCACAAATAGCATTAATTAAGCTGTAAAACCAGTTAGGACATTTATTACCACTAAAGCAATACAGATTAAAAATAAAAACTAATCAAAACAAACTGTCTGGCTTTCCTCTATTCTGCTCCTAAGATGGATCATCTATTTCCTTGATACTTTTATCTTCAGTTATGTTTTTCATCTCATAACTAGAAACAAATGTTAAGCTCACTGCCAGGTCATTTCTAGATCCCATTAAAAAAAAATCCCAATAATTTGGTATTATATTGACTACAATTCGGTCTTCTAGAATAGAACTTGTAATACTGGTTCTTCTTTAGGCATGATCTTTTGTATTTCAATTAAGAGAGTGTGATTGCAGTATAGAAACAGGTTTATGCAATAGCTTCTGTTATCAGCAAAAGCAGCAAAAATAAAAGCAATCAGCAATCAAGGACCAGTCTAACAAACTGTGTAAACTGAAAAGCACCGAACAACTTGGCATTAAGTTAGAATTTTAATGAACAATATCCTGCTTGTTTTCATAAAGTACAGGTAGTCTTTGACTTACAACAGTTCATTAAGTGCAGTGGTGAAATTTAAAATTTGTTACTACTGGTTCTGTGGGTGTGGCTTGGTGGTGGTGGTGGTAATGTGACTGAGTGGGCGTGACAAATATCTTTTTTTTTACTTTTAAAACCATTTTTTCTACAACCTCTTTGGCGAAGTGGTGGTAAAAAAAATGCTTTCAAAAGGCTGTGACAATCCCAGCTGAGTTGCCTGATTGGCAGAGGCTTTTTTTCTTTTAAAAGCCTCTGTTGATCCGGCAACTCAGCTTGGATCGTCAGAGGCTTTTAAAAAAAAAAAGTCTCTGCCGATCAGGCAACCCAGCTTGGATTGTCAGAGACTTTTAAAAGCACTTTTTCTACAACCTCTGAAGAAAAAGCCTTTGACGATCCCAGCTGAGCTGTGTGATCATCAGAGGCTTTTTTTTTTACTTTTAAAAGCATTTTTTCGGTCGAAGAAGTTGTAGAAAAAATGCTTTTAAAATTTTTAAAAAATTGGGCATGGGGGTGGGCAGGGATTTTTGCTACCGATTCTCCAAACCATCCGCCTTCATCGCTACAGGATCGGGTGATCCGGTCTGAACCAGGAGCATTTCACCCCTGATTAAGTGACTGTTCAAAGTTACAATGGCACTGAATAAAATGACTTATGACCGTTTTTCACAGTTATAACCTTTGGAGCAACCGCCTGAACATGTGATTAAAATTCAAATGCTTGGCCTATTTATGATGGCTGCTGTGTCCAGTGATCATGTGAACACCTTTTGCGATCTTCTGACAAACAAACTCAATGGGGGAACCCAATTCACTTAACAACTGGGTACTAGCTTAACAACTTTAATGATTCACTTAGCAACTGTGGCAAGAAATGTCATAAAATGGCACAAAATTCACTTAACCAATGTTTCACTTAACAGAAATTTTGAGCTCAATTATGGCCATATGTTACGGTCAAATGACTATCTGTATTTAGCAGTACAGATCAGAAAGGAAGCAGGCAAAAGCTTTTCTTCTTTACTTAGAATAGAATCTTCTAGAAAATTCTAGAAGATGAAACAAAGGAAGGATGTACTTCAAGTATCTAATCCTATAATTTCTTTTCTGCTGTGATCCTTGCCACACTTTTCACACAGGTTGAGAGAGAAAGAAGAATAAATACAGGTGACTGTTAGGAAACTTAGTATCCTCTGGATATTCTGGATTTCTGTTTCCATCAACCAGATGGCAAGAGACTAAAAGACCCAAAACATCTGAAAGGTTCTAGTTGCTCAAGCTGGCTGAATTCTTTGTATGTTTCATTTCATTGCCCATTATTATTCATATGGGTTTCTTCCCTAATGAGATTATGTAAAATTCAGACAGTATGACTGGTGGCCTCATTGTCTTAAAGTAGAATAAACAAACAGATAATGTAGGTTTTTTTTTAAAAAAAGTAGTAATATTTCTCAGGAGTAAGTTTAATGTATTTCAAAACTGGTGAATAATCTGTTACAAATAATTTCATTCTTAATTCTAATTATGAGATTTTGTCATTTCTCCCATTAATCATAGTGCCAGTATTTTCCCTCAAGGCCAAGGTCAAAAGTTTCCTGCTGTTATTTTATCTAGAAACATACTCGCTAGTTTGTTGTTCCATGGCATGAATATTTATATTGTACAGGTAATAGAGTAAATATTAGCACCATGAATTATTAAAAATCGAGGTAAAATTGCTGAAATTGTTTTTATTTGATGGCAGGGTTGTTCTGTATCTTAGTATACTTGTTGGAGGTGAATTAAATTCAGAAGAAATGCCTCTCCATAATTATTATGGCATAATTTTTTTGGTATTAATGGAAATTTTAGTTAAATAATATAAATGATTAAAGTATTTTGGAAGAGAGTCAATTGTAAAGCAAATCAAAGTGGTTATTTTAATAATATATTATCCAAAGGGACCTTTCTGTCTCTAAGGAATGTGACTGACACAGTTGTTTAGGCACTTAGCGAATATTTGATTCTCTCTTCAAAGTTATTTAAGTTCCTTTGTTTTTCTGTTCTGAGATTAGTTTCTAATACAGAAAAGTGAAAAATACTTATAAGATAATCGTCACCCCGTGCTCTAAATGAGTTTTTATACTGTTTTTACATGTATGTTTGTATGTTTGTATAGCAATAGCAATAGCACTTAGACTTATATACTGCTTTACAGTGCTTTACAGCCCTCTCTAAGTGGTTTACAGAGTCAGCCTATTTCTCTCAACAATCTGGGTCCTCATTTTATCCAACTCGGAAGGAACGAAGGCTGAGTCAACCTTGAGCCTAGTGGGATTTGAACTGCCAAATTGTAGGCAGCCAGCATCAGCAGAAGTAGCCTGCAGTGCTGCACTCTAACCACTGTACCACCAAGTGTGATATGAGTGTGATATGAGTGTGTGTGTATACATATGTGTATGTGTATTTTCCATTAAAAAGGCAGAAAATCACTAGAAAATGTTCACATTTGGCTTTTATAATTAAAAATTAAATTATATTTTATATTTAAATATTTTATATGTATAAAATATAATTTTATCTTTTATAATTGTTTCAGTTATAAAATTAGGTGGGGTAATATGTACCACTTTCCTATAATGGAATTTTAATGTTTTTAAAGTATGAAACTTTTGTAAAATGGTGTCTTAGGCTTTCACCTGTGCTACAATTTAAGACGATGATTTAGTGGGTCAAAGGTTTTTCAGCTATTCTCTGCCTGAACAGCTGAGAAATTTTTTTCCAGACAGAACTTAGTTACGGGCTATAAAAATATGAACCTTTGTTATGAAGGGTGTTGTAGGTTTTCCTTGATTCAGATATTTTCCATCTCAGTATCCAATCAAAAGAACCTCATCAAACAAGCCAAACTAACAGAAGTTACTCACTTGAAGGAAAAAGAGTGTAGCAGAAGTTAAAATAACATCCACTTGGAGTTCAAAGTAAATAGAGTTAATGAATCCAGAAGGATAAAAGCCAAAGGAAAAATGGGTGACATGATAACAGTGTTCCAATATCTAAGGGGCTGCCACAAAGAAGAGGGAGTCAACCTATTCTCCAAAGCACCTGAAGGCAGGACAAGAAGCGAGGGATGGAAGTTAATCAAGGAGAGATCCAACCTAGAACTAAGGAATTTCCTGATAGTTAGAACAATTAATCAGTGGAACGACTTGTCACCTGAAGTTGTGGATGCTCCAACACTGGATTTTTTAAAGATGAGATTGGGCAATTGTTTGTCTGAAATGGTACAGGGTTTCCTGCCTGAGCAAGAGGTTGGACTAGAAGACCTCCAACTTTGTTATTCTCTTATTCTGACTACAGCATGAAATAGGAAACATTTTGAATTAGGGATTGTACAGTATTTTGGATTTTAAATTTTTAAATAATCTATTTGGGAAATATAAGAATCACATATAATCACAATCCCTCCCTCCCTCTTCTTTCTTTCTTTCTTTCTTTCTTTCTTTCTTTCTTTCTTTCTTTCTCTTTCTTTCTCCCTCTCCTCCCTCTTCCCTCCCTCCCTCCCTCCATCTTCTCTTCTTTCTTTCTTTCTTTCTTTCTTTCTTTCTTTCTTTCTTTCTTTCTTTCTTTCTTTCTTTCTTTCTTTCTTTCTTTCTTTCTTTCTTTCTGGCTTAAAGAAGTAGTTGTGATCCTGAAGAGCAAAATTGCTGCATTAAATCCACTTTCCTCCCATTCTCCAATCTTTGGCCAGAAGAAAACTGGCCAAAGCTAGAAATCTGAGAATTCTTTGGAAATTGCTCACCTCTCAACTGCCTCTAAATATATGCTTGATTAAACATTAGTTCTTATCAACTTTTCCAACTTTTAAGTTAAATAAAATGCTGATTTCTGAAAGTTAGGACATACAATTCAATAACAAAATCAGTTAATAAAATACCCACTCTTCCACTTTAAGATGCTGTGACATAAACTATAGAAACATTATTTTCTTAAAGTTTGGAGGCTCCTGCGCTCTGTTTTCAAACAACAGCAAATACAGGACATAAGATTAACTCTGAAAGAAATAAGAACAGCGTTGGCAGAGATGGGGAATCCCAGGCAAAATATGAGCTATTTATCAGCAATCCAAATTCTACCTAGCAAAGTTCAGTGGTCTTTATGGAGAAATTCAGGCTTACATTGTCTGCTACGCTTGTACAAGTTTCACCTTTGCTCTCTTGCAATAAGACAGCATGATTGCTTTGGAATGGAGTGCGGTGATTCTTAAAAGGACACTGGCTTTGTTCTGATCTGAAGCACTAACATATAATTGGTGACAATCAGATGCGGGGGAGGGGGGGAGAGAAGTCTGAAATGTATGGGGTATGTGTGGGGTATTCTTTCTTTTTTTAAAAAAAAGCTCAAGGAATTCAAGCTTGAAATTTAAGCATGAGAATAGGCGCGGGTGGAATGACTAAATATGAACAGGTTTTTTTTCTTCTTCTTGTGGATATTAAACCAAAAGAATATGTTAATAGTTTCTGCGGGTGTGATACTATTAATATCTGCTTTTAATGCATTGAATATAGTGGGATTCTAGGACAGGAGGCTGCAATTTTCTGGTGTGCTACAACTACAGAGAGCTGATTTGATGTAGTGTTTAAGGTCCTGGTCTAGAAATCAGAAGGTAGGTGAGTTCTAGGCCTCCCTTAAGCAAGAAAGCCAGCAGGGTGATCTTGGGCCAGTCACTCTTTCTTAGGCTAACCTACTGTTTATTGTTCAGAAAGTAGGAGGCAAGGGTGCATTTACCAGCTTGAATTGACATACATACTTACACACACACATATATATAGACCAGTGGTGGGTTGCCCCCGATTCACACCAGTTCTATAGAACCGGTAGTAAAATCGGCAGGAAGCTCCGACCCCGACATCATCAAAATGCTTCTGCGCACGTGTACGGCCCCACTGCAAACCAGTAGTAAAGGTAAGTAGAACCCACTCCTGATATAAATTGATACTAATAATAATAGCAACAATGATCAGCATCCTTTCCTAAGGACCATGCTGGGATTCTTGGGAAGTATAATTCAGTAATAGTTGGAAAAACTCATGTTCATTACTTCTAACTCATGTTAGATGATGGACTCATTAAGCACTCACACATACAACTTTTTTTAAAAAAATTGAAGCTGCAATTCTATATGTCACGACAAGTAATTCTTTCCAGATATTTTGAATTTCATTTTCCTCAACCAGCAAGGCCAATGATTTTGGGCAGCTGTAATCCAAAATATTATAGTTGGCTGTAAATATAAATAGATATATGTAAGAATAAGCTCCAGTGAACTTAAAGTAGCTTCTTTGGTTTAAGGCCAAATAGGATCTATCTTTAAAAAAACACTAACAAACTCATGACCCATTGGTTCATCCTTTCAGAGAAATTCCCTTATCTAAACAGAGAAACAGAAACAGACCATGGGTGGGCAATAAAGCAACAGGAGCGAGAATGACTTCTGACTTCCTGTTGGCTTCCCCATTGACTTTGCTTGTAGGAAGCTGGCAGGAAGTGTTGGAAATTACTATCACCTGACCATGGTTGATTGTGGCAGTGTTGCAGCAGCCACACATTTGTGTTTACAGCTGTTCTGAAAATCCTTGACATTTTAATTCCACTGGAGTAATGGTTCTTGGATTCTGGATACATTAAGTTAGCCAGTTTGAGGTTACCTTGACTTAAAAATTGGTGCCTTATGATGCACCATTTTAGCTAATTGACATTACAAACAGACAAATTGACAGGAAAATTTTAGTGGTATATAGAACAGTGGCCCCCAACCTTTTGGGCATCAGGGACCAGTTCAAGGGAGAGAGGTTTTTCCATGGACTGGAGGGGGTCTGGTTTCACATGCTGCTATATCCTGTGGATGGGGCTTACCTTGTTTGCATGGCCCAGTTTCTGGAATGCCACAGACTAACGTCGGTCCATAGATTGGAGGTTGGAGACCCCTGATATAGAAGATTCAATGATACGATTCAGTAATGTCTTGAACTGGAAGTATATTCTGCATTTTGGGGAAAGTGAGACCTACAGCATATTCCTTAGTGGAGGGTGTTAGTTTCCAAGTAAGGTAAGATTAAGCAATAGTTTTAAGACAGGATATGTTGCATTAAGTTTGTGCATTTCAGTGTGATGTTAGCTTTGATTCAAGCATCTGTTTGAAGCAAAGCGCTTAACTGGAATGGCACTCAGGATCTAAGTGAAAGATCAGAGCATCCATGCTGTTCAGTCTGGGTGACAGAATGGGCTTCTATGCAGCCCCCCTTTTTTTCCTGGAGAAAAGCAGATGGTCAAATCAAATTTCTTGCATCATTTACAAGCACTGAAGTAGAACAATTTGAATTTCTGAACTGAAGCGCCTCTTCAAATGAGATTGCAGCCAATTCTCACATATTTCAATTAGAGAAAGAAACAGCTTATAAAAGCACAAAAGTGAATGAGGTTGAAAAAACTGGCCCCACCCATTTTCTGCTTTGACTACACCAGGGGTAAGCAACCTGCAGCTCTGGAGCCGCATGTGGGTCTTTCACCCCTCTGCTGCAGCTCCCTGTTACTCAAAATATGTATCACAACCGCCAATGTGCAACACCCGCCGGCACACAATTTATTGAGCTTTTCAACCTCCGGTAGGCTAACCATGGATAAATCCAAGAAAAGAAAAGTTTCAGAAGAAAACAGAACATTTAATTCAACTACATATGCTAATTTTATGGCCACTCAAGAAATAGTTAGGCATAGGAAGGGTTTTGTGGCTCCCGGTGTTTTCTTTTCTGTGGGAAATGGGTCCAAAAGGTTCTTTGAGTGTTTAAGGTTGCAGACCCGTGGACTACACCTACTTCCCAGCCCTATGCATTTTATAAGAGATTTATATTCAGAATGCATTCTCAAAATTTGTTAAAGAGTTGAATACGCTGTATCTAGTTTCCAAAGCTTTCTTAAATTCTTTCTTTAGGATATCATCTATCAATAACCATTAAGCTATCTGAGGTTAAGACTTGGGTCCTCCTATTTGCTTAAAATGGAATTTTGTACAAGTAATAAGTATAAATGTCTGTGGGTCCACTACAGCACAGAGGGGGTGCAATGGCTCAGTGGTTAAGATGCCAGCAGCTCAGGTTCAAGAGACAAGTGCCACATGACATGGTGAGCTCCTGCATTCACCCCAGCTCCTGCCAACCTAGCAGTTTGAAAGCATGTAAATGTGAGTAGAAAAATATGTACCACTTTGGTGGGAAGGTAAGTGTTCCATGACATCATGCTGGCCACATGACCATGGAAATGTCTTCAGATAGCGCTGGTTCAACAGTTTTGAAACGGAGATGAGCACCACCCCTTATAGTTGGCAATGACTAGCAGAGTAAAATCCGCAAGGAATCCTTTATCTTTTTTTTTTTAATATAACATAGAAGTTGAAAACATACTCAAGGTTGAGACCAGAGCTTTACATTCTTTAATTTTTGCCTAAAATTATATGTTTTCCCTGCAGGACTGTCACCATGTTCCAGTACTTTGTCTGATAACTTTCAGTTTAAGTGGAATAGATGAAATTAGGCTCGTATGGTTTGGCCATAATTTTCTAAATCTCTCAAAAATATGAGAGCACTAAAAAGAATCTCAGACAGTGATTTTTTAAAAAATTGAATTTGACCGCACAGTCATACATCAACTTTCTGGGAGGTCTTCTGGATATTTTAAAGCCACCTGCTACCTAAATAACCCTGTAGCCTGCCTTTTTAAGAATTATTACCCCTCAACTTTGATGTTGAACACCAACTTCATCAACATGTAACAGGCAAAGTCATTGCAATAAGTCATTCCTCCACTGTGCAATCTACAGGGACATCTGTTCTGTCCTATTGTCTCCTCCCTGTTTAGTGAAAAGTATACGGCACATCTGATAACTTGTATGTCCATCTATTTTTGGTGGATCTGAATCCATCAATTACAGTACTCTCAACATAGCAAAATTCTGTACTGTCTTTGCAGCATTAAGTAGAGGGTGGAGGCGTAAAGAGTCCAAACGTTATTAACTCACATTCTTTAAGTAAATGTGACATTTGATACAGGCAATTGAGAGAATGTATATGACATTTGCATGCTGGCTGTGTGGTTGCATTCTTTGAGGTACATTGCTACGTTTATTGAGTTTGTTGGTTATTTGCTAACTGTGTTACAGGTTTATATTCTTATTTCATTGATTAAACACCAGGATAATGAAATGTATACAGATTTGTTAAAGTGAATATTTCAAGGTGAAGAGAAAATAGCTCGTGCTACCCTCTTGTGATATTAAATATATTAGAAATAATACAAAATATGTCAAGAAAGATTGCGTATAACAAATAGTCAAGCATTAATTTAGCTTCCATTATTCACCTTTAGTGTGCTCCCAAATGATGAGTATTTAAAGTTCTTTTAAAAAGCGGTGGTTTTTGAGATGTCTCTTAATGTAGCCTAGAGATACAGATATTTACACTAGGAACTAAGTTTCAGTGAAAAAAAAAACTGTAAAGAAAAAGTTACTCCTTATGTGTTTTTGAGGAAACTTCCAGATATGATAAAGAACATCAAGGGAAATAGAGAATATAACAAATAGGCAGAGAATATGTAGTTTAGGAGTCAAGCAATAAATCTTCATATATCTTCATCTTTATCTTGCAACTAAACAATAAATATATACATATTCTTAGCATAATCAAGTAAATATTGTATGTTCTAGTAAATTTATTTTTTTCTTGTGGTTTTGTCTCTGATTAATCACTTTTAGTTGTAAAACTCAATGGCTAAATGTACATCTGCTAATGAAGAAGCTCCTTGAAAGAAAGTATTAATATTTAAGGATTAAAGATGTGCCATGTAGCAGAAGAATACCAACGAAGCAAGAAATGTATGGAATTAAAAGTGAAAAATGTTTCAGAAGGAGCAGGTATACAACTATACAGACTAAGAGCCGTAGTGATTCAATGGTTAGAATGCAGTATTGCAGGTTACTTCTGCAGACTACCAACAGTTCAATTATGACTGGCTCAAGGTTGACTCAGCCTTCCATCCTTCTGAGATAAAATGAGAACCCAGATTGTTGGGGCCAATATGCTGACTCTATAGAGAAGGCTATAAAGCACTATGAAGTGATATATAAGTCTAAGTACTACTGCTAACTTTTTGAACATTGAACGGTATGGGATGAAATTTGTCATGGAGATTGAAGCCTCTCTAAGACATGACTTAGATGGAATAATCCTTATTACAATCCTTACAAATTACAATTACAAATAAGGATTGGAAGGAAGTCCAGAAGCAAAGCACTGCAAGCTTTCCTTAATTTGTCTAAAATATTAGGAAACAAATGATGTTTCTTTTTTTTAAATTTCCCCCATCCACTTTGCCACATTTTCTCTGAAATGTCTCTGCAAACCAGAAAGGAACTGGGCTTCTGTGACCACTAAGAGTAATTCCCCTATTCTTAAAAACTGTTGTGGGGGAAAAATCCCCCTGAGAAATTTAGTGAAATCTGTCTCCTATTTCTGTGTTTATTTATAAGGGAAAGAATGTAAAGAAACAATACGGATAAAAAACTGAAAGACTGGTATATCTATCTATCTATATCTATCTATCTATCTATCTATCTATCTATCTATCTATCTATCTATCATCTATCTATCTATCTATCTATCTATCTATCTATCATCTATCTATCTATCTATCTTGTTCCAATGAATGTTATTAACACTGTTCATTTAAGAACTTGGCTCCAAATCTAGTTAGAAAGCCTGAGGCTTGCTTGCTCAACTCCCTCATTACCAATCATTCAACACATTTATATTTGGAAGAGGTTTGGAGAACATACTTTTACAAGTAAAGGATATGAATACTTAGAATGGTTGCAGACATGGTTTGGATATATAAGTGGGCTGTTAGCATTCTAATTCTTTTGGAACAAAATGAAATGAAAGATAAACCCCAGTTACTCCAGTTTTTAAAAACAGTCTCAGGCATCAAAATTAGGTTCCTAGGGTGCTGAGATCTCTAGCAGCCAGCCAGGCCATGCCGATGAGAAATGGTGAAGTTTACAGACTCCATCTTTACTACTTTTTATTTCAAAATTCAAGGAAGTTGTTATGGCCAAAGTCAACCTTTAGTCAGACTATTGATCTGTTCAGCATCAACCCTAACACTCAAAATTCTTCCTAGTCTACAGATGGTGTTGTGAGTGATGTAGAAATGCCGGAACTTCATGAATTTCTTTGAGGAGGTCTTCATCAGAATGGAGGAGAAAAAGTGAAATAGAAGATATGAGTGTCTAATCTTGAAAATTAGGTGATTGGCAATGTGTTGGTGGTTTTTATATAAAGAGTGTACAGAAAATGTTATGATTAATCCAAGCAACATGATTTAATGAGAAACCAATTCATGTCGAACTTTCTCATTTTCACAATTGGGGTACAAAAAGGTAAGCCAATGATCTGGCTCTATAAATCTGTTTTCTATTTTCATGTGAAAACAGTGTGTGGCTAGGGACTATTTACTATTTTACCTACTGCAACCAAATCCCTTGGGTTATTATATCTAGGCTAAAAAATCCAGAGATTGTAAGACTTTTCTGTATCTCTTTCCTGATTTCTAGTGGTCATCCAGATTTTTGCAGCCCAGATATGATAAGTACCATTTTGACCGGAAAGTTGGTCCAATGTTTTGAGTCAACAATGGGCTGCTTGCTCTGTCATCCTATACCCTGACACTAAGCTCCTAAAAATAATGTTATTCAGTATAGTCTTCTTCAGCTGTCAGTTCTCAAATGCCCTGAGCAGATGTGGAGAAACTAAATGATGTCCAATGAGGCCCAGCCTAAATCTTAAACATTCTTTGCAAGGATACTTTCAAAGCTTTATAGTTCTAGTTTGGATCCTGTAGGGCAGTGGTCCCCAACCTTTTTATCGCCGCGGCCCGCTGAGCGCGCGCAGGGGTGGGGCCACGGCCCAGGAGCCTTTGCGCAGGCCCATTGCGCACGGCCCAGGAGCTTTTGCGCAGGCCCATTGTGCACGGCCCAGGAGCCTTTGCGCTGAAGCGTTCCTGTCCCCTGGCCGCTGCGCGGCCCGGTGCCAGGTACTCCACGGCCCGGCACCGGTCCGCGGACCGGGGGTTGGGGACCACTGCTGTAGGGTATCCTATGGCCATTTGTAGAAAAGCATATCTCCTAACATGAATGATTTTTTTAATAGCACTTTAATTTAAAGTATTCTAAATTGTTTTAAAACACTACCATTTAAAGTACTTGTAAACCCAGTGTGAATGCACTGTAGGAAGCTGAAGAATGTGGTGCTTATTGCCAAGTGCTGCCAGTATCGTATTCTTCCAGCAGTTTCAATTTATTTTAAATCCATACCATACATAGGTGGTGCTGATAGTTATAGCTAGGGCATTCTCTGCTTATAGATGATTTGAGGCTTGTTTCTTAAGTTTAGTTGAGTTGTCATTTTAAAGCTGCCTTTGAAGCTTTTGCTTCTAGCATGTATTTTATTTTACACAAGGAGAGGCAGGTGCTTAATGGTTCTGTGCAAAGAAAGATAAATTGCACTCAAACTTTTAAATTCATCATGTACTCCTATTTTCATCATATACTCATTATTTTTTTTGGGGGGGAAAATCATTGGAAAGGAGTTTGGCTGGTTTTTCTTCAAATCCTCTGCGATGGTGATATTAAAATCTATAGGGCTGAAAATATATCTTGACTTTTAATTCATGTATTGTAATTGTGAAAGAGACAGACCTGGAAAAAGATAGCTGCTCTCCAGCAGTTTTGAAAAGTCTTTGGTCTAGCAAAATATTGAGTTAGGATAGCTTCCTCCTGAGAAAGATCACGATGTGACACCTACAACATAAAATGCTCCATTGCACCTTTAATATCTCAGGGATCCCACAGTTCTTTTCACTCATACCTTGTATCACTCATATATTTATGTGGAAATTATCTAAAGCTATGGAACTTTGTCAAAGGAAAATAGTCAAAAGTTATAGACATCTATTAAAACAGTGTAATGTCTTAAAGTATGGTCGAGGTCCTCCAAGATCCACTCAGGGGCCCACAATACCAAAATTATTTCCCAGCCTACGTTGAAAAATTATGCAATGTTAAAATCCCATCAGACAATAGTGAGTGTAGTGAATGCATCACTTTTAATTTTTAATATGGTAAATATTGATAAATATAACTCATACAAACAGAAGCTCTTTTGGGGCCCTCCATAATTTTAAAAAGCGGGTCCTGAGAGAAAAAAGAAACCACTGTTCTAATAAATGCTAATCATATAAAGTAAAGAAAACTGATAACATCTATGGGACTCAGAAGCATCTCTTTAAAGTATGAGGCTCCATGTATAGATGGCCCACTGGTGCACTGAGATGATTTGGATTAGTCCCTTAGTTCTGTGCAAAATCTTTAGAGATTCTTCAACTCACCCCAACATTCAATATTTAATCCATGACATATGTTTTAGGGACAACTCTGTTCCATTAAATCCTTATGATTATCCTCTTTACAATATGTAACAATATTGCATTTTCCTTTGAGAAGAGAATATTAACTTTAATCTCTTCTGCTAGAATTGAACACATTATTGGCATCCTTCAGTCTCAAAAGACGATGGTATCGTGTTCTGGAAAGTGGTCCTAAAACAGCATCTAGTGGGACTAATAAGGCCAATTCGAGAGTGGCAATCCCTTCCACACTGAGGGCAAATACAGTCTGTCCCCTGCCCAGCCCCCAGATTTCGCTGGTTCCGGGACTGCCTCTTTGCCTCAGCGGGCCGAACAAGTGTCTCTTCAAATCGGAGAAGGCCATGCTAAGTCTTTAGCCTCCAAACTGAACGATCGGAGGTCAAGGTTTCCCAGTTGTTAATGTCCATTCCCAGGGCCTTGCAGATATCCTTATATCACAGCTGTGGTCTCCCTCTGAGGCACTTTCCCTGCACTAATTCTCCATATAGGAGATCTTTCAGAATCCGACCATCAGCCATTCTCACAAGATGCCCCAGCCAGCATAGACGTCACTGTTTCAATAGTGTATACATGCTAGAAATTCCAGCACGTTCCAAGACTGCACTATTTGGAACTTTGTCCTTGAACAAAGAATTGAACACACATTTTCAGATTTACCCTTGTACAATTCAGTGTGTTCTTAAGACTCAGTTACGTCTCTCGGTCTTTGTTTAGGCGGGAAGGAACTATACATTTTTCTTTTCTTGAAGATAAGAATAGAGCAGTGATGGCACGGTGGTTAGAATGTAGTATTGCAGGCTAACTCTGCACACTGTCAGGAGTTCGATCCTCACCGGCTCAAGGTTGACTCAGCTTTCCATCCTTCCAAGGTTGGTCAAATGAGGACCCAGATTGTTGGAGACGATGTGCTGACTCCGTAAACCACTTTGAGAGGACTGTAAAACACAGTGAAGTGGTATAAAAATGCAAGTGCTATTGCTATCAACTATCCTATCATCCATCTCCTCCCACTTATGACTGTATAACTGTAACTTGTTGCCATATCCTTACGATTTATATTAATTGTTTCCTAGTATGATTTGATTACTTATTTGTACCCTATGACTATCATTAAGTGTTATACCTTATGATTCTTAACGAATGTATCTTTTCTTTTTATGTACACTGAAAGCATATGCACCAAAGACAAATTCCTTGTGTGTCCTATCACACTTGACCAATAAAGAATTCTATGTATCTCTCTATAATCACATATGTGTGCAGTTCAAACTAGCAGTTGAAACTGAAAGTTTCAATAGGTATGGTAGATATCCATGTTCCCTATGGGCACAAAGTTGACTTTCCACCACAGCAGGATTAACTTTCTTTGGAATTTCACTTTTATGTTATGTTTATGTAGGTTTGTAAGCTGAAAAGAGCTGGATGCTATAAATTAGGGAGGGCCATGGCTGGCTGGGGAATTCTGGGAGTTGAAGTCCATGAATCATAAAGTTACCAAAATTGGACACCCCTGCTATAAACGTTCCTTGAGCTATATTTTCAGCAATAGGGAAAGTTTTTCTTCCACTGCTTAATTCCAAGTCTCTTTTGTTTTTGGTCCTCTGAATCTCTTACCTTCTTTAATTTCTTTCTTCCCTATGCCTTATTTTCACTTATATTTTTTCCTCCATTCTTTTTCCTTCCCCTTGATGTCAATTAATTTATTTGTGAGATTTTTATAAGGCTGTCCAACTCAAACATGTGGTTCTGGGTAGCATGCCTGGGTGTGCATCAAAAACAAAAAACAGACCAAACCCTACCATATAAATTAAACATATGCAATATATAAAATTTCAATGGTCTGTCCTTCTCACGCCACTTTCTCACAATTGAAATCTACTACAAATGTCATCACAACTTTCTAACAGGCAATGTTAGAAATGTGTAGCAAAGAAGCTAAAATATGCATGTTGTCAGCCTTCCATCCTTTCTAAGGTGGGTAAATTGAGGACCCAGTTTGTGGGGGCAATAAGCTGACTTTGTATAAATATACAAAAGTATGAAGGCTATTGCTTAACGCATTGTAAGCTGCCCTGAGTCTCCGGAGAAGGGCGGCATATAAATCAAATTTATATATATATGTATATGTATATGTATATGTATATGTATATGTATATGTATATATTATATGTGTATATATGTGTATATATGTGTATATATGTGTATATATGTGTATATATGTATATATATACTTTTATAGAAGGATTTTTGTTTTACAAAATTAAGAGCTACAGAAAAATTATAAGAAAGAGAGAAACATATAAAAAGTAGAAAGGGTAAAGATAGAAAAATGTGAATGATAGTATAGATCAAGAGAAAGAAAAAAGATTAAAAGAAGCAACTTCTAATCTTCTTCACAGCAGTTACAAACATAATTAATGCTGTTTCTATCCTCCCAAGTTTACATAACATACTTTCCTTCTTCCCTCATACAGCCCCTTTTAATCTGTATATCTGCAGATCACCATTTCATTTCCACCTATTTTTAGCACAAAGTCCATAAAGGGTTTCCAGTCTAGAATGGCATATTTGATGTAGCGGGCAGGTGTCACCACTTATGGCTAGTCTATACAACCTTTTTGCTTTGATCAGAGAAAAGAGAGAAGTTGTGATCTCATAACAGATAAATCAATTTCCAATGAATCATTTCAGAAGAGAGTCAAGAAAGGTGTTGTTTTTTTTTACTTAATCTGGAAAAAAGAACTGTCTTGGGAAACTATCAGCAGTCAGTATTTGATAAAGATTTTGACAAATTCTGTATTCTGTAAACTTCTTTAGGTATCATACTTAGAACTCTTATATTCAATAGCATTCAGCTCAGAGGTTACTACATGTTTACAATGGACCATTTGTGGAACCTCCTGCACTACTGC